ATCTACATCTTTCCCCATATTGGGTAGAGGTAACCTTGGATGCAATGAAAAACATGTTACGTGCTTATATCTTCGAAACTATTAATCACAGTATAACAAATAATACATAGCTTACAAAATCCCATTTATGACAAAAGAAATTTGAATTCTTGACTCCTAACCCTTCAATACAGTTGCATTTGAAAGTTAAGCTAGCTAAGTTTCATGCAAGTTTGTTTCATTATGTACTGTTTCAGAGTTTATAAGTAGTGAATAAATAATGAAAGTAATTAACTTTCATAAAAGAAAATATCTAAATTTTTAATAAGTAGTAATTATTTGGTATTACAGTTTTTTTTTTTTTTTTTTGTTATATCTGAAACTTTTATTATATTCTAATAAAAATTTGAAATGTTTAAAAATATCATATCCTATTAAAAATATTTGAAAAATGTGAAATAAAATGTTTCACTGTAGGAAACTTTATGAATTCCATTTCATTACAATGGACTCACAATTGAAATAGGCTAGTTATGAAATTTCCTTGCCTTCTATTCTATAATCTGATGATATTGTTAATTACCATAATTTTGGGGATTCGTGGTGATTTGTATCCTGCAGAAAACTACAAGAATAAAAATAAAAAATTTTTAATAAACAGAAAAAATTTTTATTATTGATGCTGGTATTAAAATTACTTTCTGTTAAATTTTGTTCAAAATGTAACGTTTCAAACTGGATTTCATCATGGAGTTTCACTTGTTTTTAATATTTTAATTTTGTAACACATTGTCAATTATTTTTAGAATTTTGCTGTGAATCAATGAATTTGATATTAATTTGCCACTTTAATTAATATTAAGTTGTCTGCCACTGACTAGTTGTACAGTGTGAATTAACTTACAGTTGGAATTTTTCACACAGTCCACACCACCTTTCAAATTATCTTTCAAGCGCAGAAAACCCACAGGTTATCTTCCTGAAATATAGTACTGTATACAACTATTTTCTATCCCGACTTCCCTAATTGTTTTCTATTTTTACTAAATCAGACAATATATATATAAAAGTATTTTTAATGGATACGAAATATATTACCAATTTTGCAGTACACTTAGTTCCAAAGCCTTAGTCAAACAATCAAGTCACATAACATGTAATGGATCATTAATTAAATGGATTCTATGTTTATAAAGCATTATGGGGGCTGCTAGAAATTTGAGTTAAACATATGTTAAATATGAACTGATGTTTACACTTGTGATACAATGACACTTGCAACTTTCTCTATACTGTATATATACACAATTTACTAATTTATAATTGTACATTATCTATCAGTAAAAAAAATTCAGCAAAGAGTTGCTTAACTTTCCTGGCAACATTTAAAACTGCGTGTGGCGTCATCTGTTACGATATTCTGTTTAAAAAACTATATTTTTAATTATTATAAAATGACAAAAAGCTTAATTTTCAGAGTAGGGACTGGTTTTATAAAAAAAATTGTAAATGCCAATAACCAGTAAAGTCGTCATTACGACCGACCCTGCTCGAGATGTGACAGACGACTGCCCTTTATCTCTCCAACCATTGATCTTTAACTGCCAAAATTTAATAGCATTAATCCCCTAATATGCAAACTTCCCTGCAAAATTTCAGAAATTTTTGACAAAAAACAGAAGTTTTATTATTAAGCTTCAAAGAGGGGGAACAAAATCATACTCTTCCACACATTAACATCCGTACATGCAGAAAAACTCCTAAAGTTTTTTGCATTTCTCGACATTTCAAGATCCCAGAGTCCAAAAAATGTAGAAAAATCTGCGGGGGGTCATTTTTTTGACCAATCACCATAGTTTTCCTCTGTCATATAAAATATCGAGAGCCTCAAAAATAAAAGCAATTTTATGTTATTCTGATAACTTTTAAAAATTTTAATAATCACTTATTAATTTTTCTAAACAGTCAGCTATGATTTCAGATATTTTATAATTAAAATATGATGAATTCTTTTATTTTCTGAATTTTTCATTTTTAAAATATCATATATGAATTTATTAAAAAACCAAACTAACTATGAAATAATCAGGCTACATGTTATGTAATTAATGTTATATATAATCACATATATGTATATAATATGGAATGATTTAATGAGACCAACAGAGAGATTATTCATGTCTTTTAAGACTTTTTTGACAAAATTTATGGGAGTAGTTCAATCAATAAACAAGACATTTTATAGAGAAAATCCTTATTTAATAATGTAGATGGTTTTTACTAATATGTTTAGATTTGTATCTGGTTAACCTATATTATGCTAGAATGCAGTTTCAACAATTTTCACGAGATTTTGTGAGCATATTATTTTGATATATAATTTTTCCTTCCTCCTAATAAACCTCTGTTTATATCTTAAATCTTACTTTTTATTCAAAGTCATAGTGCAGGAGTGCTCCTACATAACTTAAAGGCAAAAAAGGCAACACTCGAGACCTCCCACTCACAGGAGCTTTGCAAATTTGGTTATATGTTTTGTAGTTAAATTAAATTAGTAATTATTGAAGACGATCACTGTGTTGAATCTGCAAAATGATCATTTTAAAATTAAAATTGTTGATTGGAGGTAGTTCTTGAGATAGGGAACTGGGAATTTTCCTTGGACCAGGAGAAAACTTAGGAGCCCATAGTTATTCTTACTCTTATTGAATTAACATTTTTTTTACTTACAGAAAATAAAATCTTTAAGACCACTTTTTATTAATAAAGGAACATTTTACTTGTTTCGTTATTCAAAGAGCAAGACTGAAGGGGCCCCATTCTACTCCCGGGTTCCATACAGGCTCTCGACGGCACCGTCTCGATCAATGTGTCAAAGGAGACCATCTTCACTTTTGATGTTGGCCATTGAAAGAAATATCGTTGCAAAACCAAACTTATTTTCTATAATTGAGTAATTTGTCATTGCTAAAAGCAGGAGAGCAGTTTTGTAGATATATTTCTTTACACTTCCAATTCATTGTAAAATTGTTGTACATGTTTTTGTTACTTTATTGGATATTTTAATGTCTGTTCCTTTATTAAAATGTTCATATTATTGTAGACCTAAATAACTACCCTCTACCTCCAGTGCTCTTAATGAAACTCAAAAGTAAATTTTGCCTGTAAATTCTAGGGCTGTTCATAGTATGTTTAAAGACAAAAATGCCCATTTAATACCAGTTTAACTTTCATAAATGTCATTTGTTTTGATTTTTATTTTAGAAAGAAAATTGTGTTAAGATTCTTAAAATATATATAAATTATAGTAGGTTATTTCCAACATTCTAACAATAATAATAATAATTGCTAATAGAGAATTGAGGTATGAAAAAATAAGACTAAATCTAATATATCAATTAAAATTAATAATAGTTTAATTGGCTATCATCAATACAATAAGGATCATCTAATCAGCTATCATCTGTATGATTATCTTGACAATGCCTACATTGTTTACATATCTATACGTATAAATCTGACTACTGATGCGTGGAGAATGGTACAGAATAATGATTTCTCGAGATGTACTGACCGTCTATGACAAGTATTTTCCGTTTTCGATTTGTGTGATTGGATTTTAGAGTAAAGTTGAACCATACAAGGAATGTTAACTTATTTTTTTGTATATCTTTTCGGTATTTGTAAACTATGTATTAAAAAAAGCATTAAAAAATCAATTGTTATTACAGATAGAATTATCTATTAAGTTACAAATATATAGAGACGATTGTAAGATCGTTTTAAAGCGTGTATTTGTGATCGATATAATATATGCAATTAAGAAAGGCACGAATTACATCCACATTCTTAGATGCAAAAATACAGGATTAAACCCGTTTCGCGAATAGTTTACGGTTGGCCAGAGGGCCAAGTGCTCAATTCCAACACGGATATTCGCTTAGAAGTTTTGATTATCAATCGCGATTAAAATGCCCGTCGACTGGAAGTGCCGCGGTAATTACTTCTATGATAAATTTACTAACTTCCTGTCCATGTGTTTTGTTTAACCTAGACCGGAAGTAGTGCAGTGTGGACCCCAGGTTTTGCTATTTACACTTGATTGTCAGAATTAAAAGCAACTTTGTAAACAATAACGAAACTAGGCAAGCGTTATATTCTTTTAATGAAAATCTTTTTCTATTCTATAATAATCTGTTTAAAAAAGCGAAAAATTTATATTTACAAATCTTTATTCAATAATATACTGATTGACAAAAAGTTATGCACTCAGATAGAAATGTTTGATTACTGCAAAACTTGGCGTAACTTATATCTGTCTCAGACAGGTATGTAAATGATTATAGTTATGGTTCGATTGCATTCTACATAATGCTACAAGAGTGCCATAAAATCAATACCCCAAAAAAGCCTATCTTATCAAAAGCTCATAGAAGCTCACTGTATTCAGAATTTTCACTGTATCTATTGAGAATCTTTGAATGCCAGCCATTTCTTTATAATGCAGCCAAAGACATTATGCACTGCTGACAGTTTAGAAAGGTCACATTATGAGCTGGGAAAGCAGAATGCCATTTTGCTAAATTTTCTGCCATCTGGGCAATTCTGATTTGATTGAGATGGTGTTAGCAACAATGTATATGGGATGGCACATGTACTGTACATGGCAGGCAGGCTCTGAATGCCCCAGATAGACTACTAGGAGAGATGTCTGATTGTGCGACAGGCAGGGACTGCTGGACTGGTAATGTATTATTTTTTCTTTATTCTGTTTGAGAATGAATGACCACTGTGTTAAAGTGTGGAGGATCACTACTGTAGTGAGGGCTTAAATCCTATTTTTACTGTTGAATAATACACTGTCCTTGTTGCTAGTGTACAGAAGATTGGAGCACCTTCTTGTTATACAATTGGACAATTGATCTCCTCTAGTAATGTTGCAAGAGACATGGATTTCACCATGGAATATTTGGATATTTTGCACTCTCTTGTGTTGCCTTTCATGTCAGGGCTGCAAACAAGCATTTTCCAGAAATAATGCTTGGCTACACACATGTAAGGTTTATTGAGATTTTCTGTCATGTTCACAGATGTTCTTGGCTTGCTCAGTCTCTGGATTAATTACTCATTGAGAATTTGTGGGGCCATTTGGGATGTGTGATTTGGCCATCTTTGAGTATGAGGGATATGGAGTGACAGTTGCAACATCCATGAGCAAATCTGTTGCAGGATAGCATACAGTGACTATATGTCTTCAAGCCTGACTATATTGTCACATGTGTCTAGGCAAAAGACCCACTAGCTGCTAAAAGTTCTTTTAAATTGTATCACTGTTCCATAAGAAAGTGTCCCTTTGCTGTGATATTATAATCACTTATTACCATCATCATTACATTTGCACTAATAAAGTTTTATTTGATTCTAACATCTCTTTCTTGGTGAATAACTTTTTTGTCAGTGTGTGTGTGTAACTATTAATTGAAAAGTATTATCATGATATTTGATTCTTTTAATGATTTTTTTCTCTTTAATTTTATAGAGATTGATAGTGAATCCAGTTCAGATGAAGATACAGAAAGTGAAGAAGAGGATACTTCTCTAGAAGAATTGGAAAGAAAGAAAAAACATCCAGATAGGTTGCATGAAGAATTATGGTATAATGATCCAGGAGAAGTAAGAATAAATGTTTGATTATTTATTTAGATAGGAAGATATTTGACAAATTATTCACTTTTCTGAAGAGCTATTTTTAAAATTTAGTAGAATTTAAAGATAGATCAATTATATAATTATTTGATTTATTTGTATATTCAAGCTTATAACTTTTAAATTAAATATATATAGAAACCATCTATATATATGTATACACAGTGCGGCAATTAAATTCCGGGACTGAAGCTATATCTCAGCAACCAGTAGCGACATCTGTTTAAATTTTATATCATATGAAGTTTGAACAGATGTCGCTACTAACCTAAAATTTTTATTTAAATCGGTTGACATTTATCATTGTTTTTGATATTTTGTTTATCAGTTTATTTCGTTACATGTTGGCAAACAATAATGGAACAACTTGCTGTTATTAAATTTCACGCTAAACTTGGCACAAGTGCCACAGAAACATTCAAAATGATGCAGAAAGTGTATGGAAGTGAGTGTTTATCACGGTCAAAGACTTTTGAGTGGCACAAGCAATTTTTGGAAGGCAGACAATCACTGGAGGATGACAAACGTGTGGGAAGGCCAATAACAATTCGAACAGCAGATTCGATTCAAAATGTGCAAGAATTTGTATCCAACGATCGCAATGCGACACTGAGAATGATGGAACAGGCATTAAACATTAACAAAGAGACAATATGACAAATTCTTAAAGAAGATTTGGGCAAAACAAAGATCTGTGCTAAATTTGTTTTGCACACACTAACCCAAGACCAAAAATTGATGAGACTGGAACATTCCAGAGAGATTGTACGAGCAGCAAATAACAGCTCAACCTTCCTCAAATCAATTGTTACTGGTGACGAGACCTGGTGTTTTCAATATGACCCACAAACAAAACGTCAAAGTGCAAAATGGAAGTCAAAATCATCACCTCAAGCCAAGAAAACACGAAAAGTTTCGTCAAAAATCAAGACAATGTTCATTGTTTTCTTCAATAGCAAAGGCATCATCCACCGTGAGTTCGTTCCACAGGGTCAAACAGTTACTGCTGCTTTCTTCTTGGGAGTTTTACAACGATTAATGGGAAGAATTCGACCAGAATATCGCAATTCTGATGACTGGTGTTTGTTACACGATAATGCACCGAGTCACACATCATTGATTGTTCGTCAATGTTTGGCACAAAATCAAGTCTGTGTGTTGAATCATTCGCCGTATTCCCCCGATTTAGCACCTTGTGACTTCTCTTTATTTCCAAAAATGAAAATGAAGTTGAAAGGACGCATTTTTAATGATATTGAAACCATCCAAAGAGAGTCTACGCGCATATTAGAGGCAATACCGAAAATTGAGTTTGAGCAGGCATTTGAATCACTATTGAATCACTGTAAAAAGTGTATTGAAGCAGGAAGAGAGTATTTTGAATAATTTAATAAAAAGATTTGAATAAAATCGTTTTGTTTCATTTTTATAGATCCAGTCCTGGAATATAATTGCCGCACTGTGTAGTTAGATGAAATATTAAATTTTAAACTCAGGCAGATTTCATATATATATATAATCTGAGTTTTAAAATTTAGATTTAAAATTTTAAACTATTCTAAACATCCAATGCACATACAAAATTAAAGTAACAGTGAACATCAATGACAGATTCAACCAATCTCCTATTTCACTTGTCAGTATCAAAAGAAACAAGTTGTTAAGGGCTGCAAATTAAGATAATAGTGAACATTATGCATCAACTTTCAGAACAATTGTTATTCTCTCCTGTTTCTCTTATACTGGCTTGAGAATGGCAGAAAGTATGCTTAAAGCACTAATTATTTAATTATTTTTTGTATTTATACTTCTATATGTAGTTAATTAATAGTTATAAGTTTTAAATATGTAAAAGTAGTATGAATGCATGAAGTAAATCAAAGCAATCTTTTGAGATCACTTTGATTTACTTTGTGCATTCATACATTACAAAATATCAATAAAATACATTACAAAATATCAAAATATACATTACAAATATATCAATTGGCAAAAAATCCATGACAAACATACTATTAGAAAGTTTACTAAAGTAGCTGAAACACATTAAAACAAATTAAGATTGTCTTCCTAATTTTTTTTCAGACACCTCAAGAACACAACAAAGTCAAATGTCAGAGCTGACCTTTATTTTAACACTTCTCCATTTCACTACATAAAGCTTGTTAAAATTATTCTGTGGTGATGGCACAATGTAAAAATATATTAATTGATAAAAATTTTTAAGAGTAAGCATAAGTTTGCTTGAAAGAATGAATCACGCAGGAACACACAATGAATATAGATATACATACTTCATTAATTATGGAGGATATTCATTTCGGACTATATTCGGTTTTCGTTGACTTTGGTTATTGTTAGTTTTGGTTTTTGTCAATTTTTTTCACAAAAAATTTGTCTTGGTTTTCGTTGGTTGCCTCAGATTTCATCGGTGGTCCCATGTGACTTCCTGCTAATTTTGGGAAAACATAGGGCGACCCACGCATTTTCCTGCTGAGTGTGGCATTGTTTCTCGTGTGAGCATTACCCCGCGCATCTAGTCAAACAATTCCATTGCTTTCCTTTCCTTTTAGCTCCATCATGGGACCAAAGAAAGTTTCCAGAGCCAGCAGAGTCAACCAGTAGCCAAGCGGTTCCATTCCCTGAATATTGGGAGTTTGGTCATAGGTTTGCACCTCACCAGGACTGGTTGGCCACATTGAGTTTTCTGCATTTTCTCCACGTCTGTAATGCCTGAATACAGGCCAGTTACCCTTAAAAAGGCCTTCTGAAAGGCATCCCCCTAGGCAGATAGCCCAAGTGTTGGGTTGACATAACTCAGTGATTCTCGATTTTTTTTTTTGTCCGGTACATTTTTAATAATTTAAAAATTTAGCAGAACACACGGTTACTTCGGTAAGTACAGCAGGACAACCGGTGACATCATAACAGTGATTTTTAAATGCAGTTTGTTATTTACGTCACATTTTATAAATGTCTTAGTAACTACTGGCAGTTACCAGTAACACCAGTTACAATTTCCAAACGCGCCATAGGAAGGTAGAACTGATTAAACTACTTGTCTGATGTAGTTTATATATGCAGTGGTGACACACTTCAAAAATCTAGCAGCATACTAAAGTGCCATGGCACAGTGGTTGAAAATCACTGCAATAACTTAATTAAACAAACAGAGACAGCAGTCCTTTGAATGTCATGTTAAATGTTTATTTATTCTTTACATTAGTCTTTTATATTCATTTTATATTAATTTCTTGTTGTTTTTAGTATTAAACACAATATTTATTCTCTATAAAATGTGTTTTTGGTATTATTTTGGAGTGTCTAGAATGAATTAAATTGGATTTATATTGATTCATATGGAAATAATTGCCTCAGTTTTTGTCAGTTTCAGATTTTGCCGATTCTTTTAGGATGGACTATCAACAAAAACCGAGGTCTCACTGTATGTCCCTCAATGGTCCTTTTTATTTTACATAAATCTGTATAGCAGAAGTTACTGTATATGTATGTTATGGTTATAATAGTGGCAGCTGGATTTAATGTACTATAAAATACTTGTACATTATAAAAGAGGAGTATGATAAAATTCTATTAAAACAACAAAAAATAAAAAATTGATATAAGGAAACTTGTATATTCTGTAAATTATAAAAGAAGAAAGTATAATAAAATATTATTAAACTGTAAAATACAAAAAATTGTTAAAAGGAACTTTAATAAATTTTATTTTTTGGAATATATAAAGTTTTAAAATGGTAAAAATTGTATTTTTACATTGTGCAACTGCAAAAATAATAATTTTAACAAGTTTTACATAGTGAAATGGAGAAATCTTAAAATAAAGGCTAGATTTGCTGTTTGATTTTGTTATGTTCTTAATATGTGTGAAAATAACAAATTATGAAGACATTCTTTTAATTTGTTTTTGAGTATTCTTTTCCAGAGAATTTTTTTTTTTTAATAGAGAAAATTATTTTTATTAATTTTGCAGAAATATGTGTATTTTTCCTCATTACTCATTTTTGATTTATTTATTTATTGTTTGTTGTTAACAAAATGTTTGTTATAAAATATTGGGAGAAAATTCTATAGGAAATGCTCATAAATTAATTTACTGTTATGAATTTAAATGATTTAGTTTCATTCTTAAAATTATTTTTTGAATTCATTTTTGAGACACTTATTTATAATAAGGAACCAGTAATTTTATCACTAAAAAATTGCTTTCACAATCTGAGTATATCAATAATAACAATAATAACTCTCCCATGGTCACCACCTGGTCGTGGTGGGAGAGCCCAGTAGTTTTACAGATCCATAGGGCAATGCAGGCTGGAGCACAAGCTCCTGGTAGGGACACCCATGCCAGTAAGGTCTATGGGGAGAAATGAAGCTAAGAGTGACCACACACCCACATTCTGTGGAGATAATCATTATGGTAGTAACCAGATCTAAGTATGATACCGGCTCGGACGTCGCCCGGGTTAACAAGGTCCGCGTTCGTGGGTTAGGCAGAGGCTCACGTTCGAAAAATAGGCTCCAGTCTCCCTTGGTTACCGGTGGCGAAAGCAGCGCCGGCCCAAGCATGGCTACTGCAATGCCCTCAACAGATGTGAGGAATCAACCTAGCCTTGGTGTTTCTGTGGCAATGCATCCACAGACCACAAAGGCTGGAAAACCACGCCAACGGATGAAATGGACAACAGAAATGAACGAGTTTATCATCCGCACTTACTACACCATCACAAGACTCGAAACAAACATGACAGCATACAGACAACAACTACACCATAGATTCACACAACAATATCCTCACCTCACTGTCACCGAACAAAGGGTTGTTGATCAAAAAAGAACAATTATACACAACAACCTTATCCCACAAACAACACTTGAACTTATCAAACAACAGGTTGCTGATCAAATACATCAACAGACAGAAACATTTAACATTAATGAAGATC